CCCCTGGGACGTGTCTTTAAGCCGAGCTTCCTCATGGCAGAGCGCACCCCCTCCCATGACACCTGCAGGCTCTAGGGTGAAAGTGAAACCTAACTGTCTGCTGAGCTCCTAACACTACTTCTCACTCAGTGAAGCTCTTTTCAGATTCAAAAATCCCTTTGAGGAAATGTATTTTCAGYTGCCAAGTAAACTGCATCATAGCGCACGCCCAGCACGCGCAACTGCCTGCTGAACTTATCAGCTGCTGCTCTGCTGCACGCTCATCTTCATCATGTTATTGTCAGAGCAGAAGCGGACTGTTATATTAACYAGATGGATTTATGACTGAACGAAKGTCCACGTCTTTTTTAATKATCTCTGAGGGTAACAATACACAAAAAACAAGTTTTTTTCTCCGACAACCTGGGTTTGAAATACTATGGTTGCTTTGCGTGACGTGCAACGGGAGAGGAGGTGGCGGGAGGGGTGATCCCGCGACACGACGTAACTTTTCTACAGCGGGAGGGGGAAACAGGATTTATTCTCTCTATACGTGTTTTAAAATGCTATAATTTCTTCATTATATTTCAAACTCATCCTGCTCAGTTGTCTTTGCACTCGCAGCCCTGTTGACACAGGTGTGATGACGTAACTGATGATATGACGGTAGAGCAGGGCTGGGCGATATTGCCTAAAATCAATATCACGACATATTGACCAGTTTACCTCGATAACGATAAATGCACGATAACTCTTACCACCCACCACACAGACACACGGGTACACGGTATACCGGTTATATAGTCATAACACTATACACTGTGTCCATGTTTTTAATCAAAGTTCACAGTTTACATTTTGAACAGCTTTTCTATAGTTTATATTTGTCATTTTAGTGTTTTTAATATATTTAATAAACATTTTTGGCAGTACTTGAGTCAGATATAGTCATACAATTATTTAACCATCTCCATAACTTTTCAGTGCAAACACATTACGTTTGTATGTACTATAACTTTATATTTTTAAAAATATACCAAATATGTCTTTTGTCCTTCACAAAATAACTTTACATGTTTTATGTTAGACTGGCCGATTTATCTATTAAAATAACTATTCCTTTCAAAAAGATTATATTATTTAGAGAGCTCATATAATCATTTAATACTATTTATTCTTTATATTTGATCATTGATTGAATCGATTCACGGAGCAGTTCAGTCACAGTATGGTTCTA